GAGTGGGGTGCCGCGCTTCTGGGGCTCTGCTCTGGCAACCCGCGCTTCTGAGGCTTTGCTGTGGCTGCTGCGGCTTCAGTCCCGGTGCCCCTGGTCTGCTGGAGATGGTCTCCAGCAGATCAGGGGCACCGGGAGCAGCTTACGAACGGGGCTTTCTCGCCCCGGAGCTCGCAGGCAGCAATCCTCCACCTTGACCTCCGGGGCGAGAGAACCCCGTTCGTAAGTGCGGATCCGACATAAGTCGGATCCGCGTAAATCGGGGACTGCCTGTACACGGAACCTTGCTGAACAAAGGGGTCGAGGGTCTTTTATAACATAACCTGATATCCGGTACTTTATTAGGGTCTGTTCCCTGACCGGGCCTGATAGGCTGGTAATGAGGTAATGTGCAATATTGCCCTATAGGATTTGTCATGATGCCCGCCTGATGGCCCCGTGGACAGTGCTGGGTGCAGGCATGGTCAGTGTGCACGGCAGTTGCATCTTATCTCCCTATGCCTACCTCCCTACCTTCAAGGACCGGTCAAGAGAGTCTTATTTATCTCTTGCAGCTGTGCTCTATCTTTTCATGCTCACCTCCCTGTTCTTAGATACCTACAAGGTTAAATTCCGTTCACAGAAAGCTGCATTGTGCGCTTACAAGTTATGCTTTCTCAGAGTGTGTCAGTGGCCTACATTTTCTGTGAGGGACCTTTCTGTGGCAGAATGGGCAATGCTCATGCGAGGCCGTGGTCAAAAGGACCTGCTCTGCGACAGACTGAAGTAATTATCTGTAGGGCCGTGTTACAACTGCTCAAAGTGGATTCTAGTTCTTACATATTTCTTTGCAAAGCATCTCAGACTGATTACTGGCAGCTGTCACAATGATTTCATCCTTAGCAAGTTCAGGTTCTCTGGTAGCTTTCAGAAAAGGGCATCAGCATCTTTTTGTTCAGATTATGAGAATTTTAATATTGGTAATTTCATTTTGGCTTTATTCACACTTACATGTATTCGTGTAGCATTAGTATGTTTTCACTTTATTTTCTGTTTTTGTCTTTAAGGGTGTATTTACTTGTTCTACAATCCACTCCACATCCCAAAAAGCTGTTAGTGTAGGCAGACCACAGTTTAATCCAGCATTGTAGTTTTCCACACATCTGGTTAAGAGTTGTTTTCAAATGGGATTCTTCTGGGAAGCTGTAAATTTAAATAGCAGAAATCTGTTAAGGGTTGCTGGTATGGACTCAACACTATTTTACAGAAGCTTATTCATTTCAGTCTTGCTGCTGTTGGTTGTAACAATTTAAGACAAATCTAAGATTAATATAGTTGCCTTAGTTTTTAGTCTCAAATTACATTATTTTCATGTCCATCTTAGAAGTTTTATTTTAAGTATAATTATAAAATTGCACTGTTTGAATGCTTTAGCTTAATACATAATAAACTGATTGATGATGGAGCAAAAATGTGATGGACTCTCTCTCTAATGCTAATTCACTGTTAAATTCATTTTACATATAAGCATGAGTTCTGGGATATGGTCTGCCATATTTCAAGTCTGTTTGAAAGATCCTGTTTATTTTTGTGTTTCACATAGGTTCTTCCCACACTTAATGATTCATAAGTATTATCTGGAAAGTTTCATGGTAAATTGTTGCTCAGTGTTTATAAACTTATCTATATTTTGAATAATGTGTTATAATAACAACAACATGAAATGTGTCCTTCTGCTGGATGTGTTTTGCTTCTCAGTTACATTAATTAATATTTTAAAAGCACAGCTTTTATCAACATCTAGATTCAGTTTACATTTGTATTTTTCTTTAAAAGGTTTGGCTTCTAGAAGAAATTTTTAATACCCATTACCATTTCAAAACTGTAACTACCTTTTCTTTAACAACAATTTTTCATAGGGTTTCTCTGGTTGTCACAGAAACTGTAGATGCAGGTTTGTTTGGAGAAGGGATTGTGGAGAGTTTGATACATGCTTGGGAGCATTTGCTTTTACAACCAAAGGTAGGTGATAAATTCAGCTGCTCATAAATCAGGACCACATTGAGACATACATACATGACACATCCTTATATATGTTCCCCTCTTTCTAATGCATAAAGAGTTTAATGTTTTGTTTTTAAATTTTAGCCACTTAATGTTTGTGAAAGTGAGGTTTGACAGCTTTGTTAGCACAAGTACTGTATCATGTCTGTTGTATGTGAATAGACAAGCAGTGACACAGCCCTGTGAATAACACTGCCTTGTTGATGTTTTTCGACACTAACCTGGCAGTGTAGGGAGGGTAGTTCAGTGTTTATGGCCCTTCAGTCCTTGTCCTTTGTGTCTATCATTGGTGCTGATAAGGATGACATTTGTAATACATATGTAGTGCAACCTGTAACAGGTTTCAGTCTGGCTTGCACCTCTATAAACCGGAACTCTCTTCTCCGGCAACATCTGTGGTCTGGAATGACCACAGACATTCCAAGATCAGAAAGTCATGGTGCGCGGTGGAGGGTGGGGAGCCAGGAGCCCTCCGTAATGCTCTGGGGGACTGGGCAAAAGCCCAGAAGCCTTGCACTCGGCTCAGCTGGGTTGTGGAGGAGAGAGGGTGGAAGCGGAGGGATGGCTGGAGCTAGCATGTGACTCCGGCATGCCATGGGGGACAGCTGGGAGCTAGCATGCAGCTCAGCTGGGCTGCAGAAGCAAGGGAATGGAGGCGAGAGCTGACATGCTGTTCAGCTGGGCTGTGGGAGGAGCCAGGAAGCCTGTGAGTAGGCCGCAGCAAGGGAGCTAGATATTACCTCCCCTGGTAGGGTAAAATCCCTTATCCAGGATAGTCAGGTCCTAAGGGTGCTGAACTAGGAAGGTCCAACCTATAATTAAGTATTAAGACACTACACAGCTACCAAAAAGCCATGCAGTAGAGTCTAGGCTGGATTTGAAACAGCAGCCTGAAGAAAAAGAAAAAAAAAAAAGGCTTCACTGTGACTGAAACTAGGGAAGTTAAAATGCAGTTACTTTCCTAATCGATTAGTTGACAGATTTTCTGTCGACTAGTGGATTAGTCAATACAGGTAGGCAGTCCCAGGGCTCATTCTGGCTAACGCCAGTGCCCCCCCCTGCCACTCTGCATTGCACAGTAGGGAAGCCACGCACAAAGGCACTGAGTCGGTCCCTGTTCCATGCATTTCTTTTCATTCATCACCATGCGCACGCGC